CCTTGTATAGCTCCTCAGGTGGTAGCGTTACCCTTCCTCAGTCTGCACGCATAAAAAAGTAATTTTCTCCATGTGAAAATGGAGATGCTCATATTTGCATGAAAATATAATTCTCTTTGTCTGAAAGCAAATTAGAAGACTAATTAACATACAAAATTAAAAAAAAAAAAACGTTTGCATGAGAATTATGAATAAAAAATGATTCTGTGAAACAGGAACCCAGCAAATATGAGAATAAAAGCAAAGCGATGCAAAAGGTCACAATGACCTCTCATGCTGTAAGTCCATGACATTAGACTAGTGTCTTTGCATTGATACATTGTATAATTAATTATAACAAGTTGTTAAAACTGCAACCGCATGCAGTAGTCAGGGAAATGGCAGTTTCAATCACAGCCTAAGCACACAAATACTTTGCGTCAAGTCCCTTGAACTGCTGGGAAGCTGACTCATTCTACGAGGTGGAGCCGATAACCTCAAACGACACCAGTATTTAGTATCGTGTACAGACGCTCTAAATGATGACAGAAAAAACTGTAATGGGTACAGTTGTAAAAAAAAAAAAAAAACAAATCTGCTCTGGTGGTTTGCCTGATTTACTCTTACAATCCTAATATGGATTTGAACCTGCCAACTGAATTTTTAGTGTGCACCCTAACAATGCACTTCATTTTTATTACTTTTTGCTGGGCGGTTGAATATACAATTGAAATTGTCTTGTTATACCTGTTCAAAAGGTGCCAAAAATATCTGTTGATCTTTCCAGAATTGTTATGTGCAAATAACTTCATCCCACATCCGACTGTTATTAGTTAGCATTGATCCTAGCTATCTGTGTGGACTACAAAACACCTCCTAATGTTAAGGGCAGGAGAAGGGGATTGCTACATACATAGGTATATAGACTTCCTGGCTAAAAAAAAAAAGAGTCACATACTCTAATATTTCCTTGGACCACCTTTAGTTTCATTACGGCACACATTTGCCGTGGCATTGTTTCATTAAGCTTATAATCAGATTTTGATTATCTGCATTCACAGGTTCTCCTCCTGTTTCCCAGGGCTGCATACATGTCTTCAAGCTAACTTTTTCCCATCCGAGAGCGCTGTTTATGTTTTTTCTGTTTTCATTAAGCTTATACAATGTCACAACATTTATTTCTGTCCAGAGTTGCGTTTAATTTTCACTAATAAATGTCCTCCTGTGACCCAAAAGAGAACTATAGTCAAAAAACATTTGGCCATAGTTCTATGGTTTTAAATCCTTATACCATAATAAAGAAATGATTTACATGCACTGTATATTCTCTCTAATAACCTGTCCTGACTCCTGAGATAATGCACCACAATACTCCGAGCTAGTGGTCGGAATGGGAGAAACAACAATCTACAATCTGTATATAAAACACCATCATAACTCTGATGCAAAGGGGGCTTCTGATGTGAAGGGGGGACTCTGATGCAAAGGGGGCTTCTGATGTGAAGGAGGGACTCTGATTAAAAGAGGGGGCTCTGACTTGAAGTGGAGTTTTGATCAAGAGGCGGGACTGAGATGTTAAAGGGGAACCCCACCTTTTTGTGTTTTTTTTTCTTGGGAACCCCCTAAAAACCCACATCAGATAAGATTCTGGTATGGATTTTTGAGGGGCCACAGTTTTTTTACATTTAATATTCTCTTTATTAACCTGTCCTCATTGCTGAGATAATGCACCACAATACTCAGAGCTAGTGGTCGGAATGGGAGAAACAACATTCTGTATATAAAACACCATCATAACTGACTAGTTTCCCTTCTTTGATAGTATCGTGATGAACATGTAAGGGCTTCATTGGACCTGTTTATCAAGGCTGCAGAGCCCTGACAGCTTTCCTCTACTATTTTACTCTAACATTTTACAAAATAAAAATGTAAAAAAAAGCAATTTTAGGGGGTTTTTTTTCCTGATATTTTCTATCCATGAATCAATTGGTTAAATCCGTACAATTGAAAGTAGATGAAAATGCTAACTAGACACTTATTCCCCTTTCACATGGGCGGTCAAATCAGGCCTGCCTGAAAAACATTGCTAGTTTCTGCCAGTCTATGAGCAGCTGGGTCTAAATGGATAGGCATCCGTTCACGTCTGACTTCCCATACAATGACATGGGGTCCGGGAGTTTTAGTCCTTTCCTCCATCGCAAACTGGATGGACACACACGGATGTCACAGCAGTGACATCTGATCCGCACTGCTCTGCTCAGGAGGAGATCCATGCATGGATCCCTCTTGATCAGCCCATGTGAAAGGGGCTTTAGTTTGTTAAAGGTCTGTTTATAATAAAAAATTGTCATGTAAATAAATACTTTGTATCCTTTGTTGCATCTCAGTGCTGCTGGTCTCCTGCAGCGTCCTTGCAGCCACTTCTTGGGCAGGTTTACTGATGGTAAGAACAATGGAGCATGCCAGGGTAACATTTGCTGAAACAGCCACTTGTAACCTCCATCAGAAGGTTATGTGACATGGTGACAACGCTGTAAACAACTGGGAGGGAGGAACAGATCATTGTCACCCCGTAGCAGGACGTTCCTGAACAAGGACCTTTGTAGCTGGATCACCAGGTATTATTTTAACCCCTTAATGATGGAGGACAAAACAAATCTTAATTCCTGAACCCAGTTTTGCAATTTAGGCATGTGTTTGGGGTTGCCACCAGTCCAGGATTCACCCGGACAGTCCGTGTTTTGAATGCTGTGTCCGGGTTTCATGGCAGCAGAAACCCGGACACAAGATGTCAGGCAGACAGGGGCAACCAAAATGAAGATCGGGGCTACTGGCCCCCCACTGAAAATAGTCTCAACTGTGATATTTACATATGAATGGTTGGCGCTATTTACATATGAATAAGCTACGACTTATTCTCCCAAAAAAATGTCAGCGCGTCGCTAGAGTCTTCGGGTTTCACTTGAAGAAAAGGTGGTAACCTTACATGTGTTAGAAAAACTGTACATATGTTTGCAACTACTCTGTGTATCTAGGTGAATTATACCATTTTTAAGGACACATTGGTGGGAATTTCTAAAAACTGGAGCAGACAGAATCTGGAGCAGTTGCCCATAGTAACCAAACAGATTCTCTCTTCAGTTTGTTCAATTAAGCATTGAAAATGAAACAGAGAAGATGATTGGGACTGCTTCAGATTCTGTCTGCTCCAGTTTTTATGAATTCCCCCATTGTGCCTTCATTTTGTGGGAAATGATCATGAATATCTCCTGATTTTTTTATTTATAAAAAAAATCTTCTACTCTTGATGTTCATGACAAGGTGTGTGTTATTTGTTCTTTGTACCCGTAGTAGCGCAACAATGCGCATTTTGCTTTTTTGTATCCTACCTAAAAGCACACTGACTCTAGCATTGAGACTGACACACACTTACAGTGATCTAGATAAGGACCTGATGTAATTATGTTATCTGTATTTTTTTTTACACATACTTTTCTTCCTGTAGAGCAGCCTTTTTCATTCAGGGTGCCTTCTGGCTTCCTCAGCGATGCCTCAGAATTTTCACACACCATCATGCCGGTCCATGGTGCAGGCAGGTTGGACAGCTAACATGATACAAATTAATAATCCAGGGAGGGTGGGATCTATCCTGAAGAGGATGGAAGTTGTCTCTGTCTGGGCTTACTCCAAGTCCCACCCTCTCCCATGATGCCTTAGCTCCACCTCCTGATGTAATAGCAGGACTCTGATGTGAAAGAGAGGGACTCTGATATTAACCGAGGGGGCTACTGGTATGAAAGGGGGATTCTAATGAAAAAGAAGGGCTTCTGATGTGAAGGGGGGACTCTGATGTTAAGGGGGCTCTGATGTGAAGGGGGCACTCTGATGTTAAGGGGGGCTCTGAAGTGAAGGGGGGTCTCTGATGTAAAGGGGGCTTCTGATGTGAAGGGGGACTCTGAAGTGAACGAGAGGGGCTCTGATATTAACAGAGGGAGCTCCTGGTATGAAAGGGGGATTCTAATGTAAAGGAGGGCTTCTGATGTGAAGGGGGACTCTGATGTTAAGGGGTCTCTAAGATACTAAGATGTGAAGGGGGATACTGATGTGAAGAGGGACTCTGATGTGAAGGGGTGTCCTGATGTGAAATAGGGCTCTGATGTGAAGGGGGGCTTATTGTGTGAAAGGAGGGGATTCTGATGTGAAAGTGGGGGGCTCTAATGTGAAAGAGGGTAATCTGATGTGAAGGGGCTGGCTCTGATGTGAAAGAGGGGGTTTCTGATGTGAAGTGGGATTCTGATGTGAAAGGAGGGGCCTCTGATGTGAAAGAGGGTAATCTGATGTGAATGGCGGGGGGCTCTGATGTGAAAGAGGACAATCAAATCTGATGTGAAAGGGGTGGCTCTGATGTGAAAGAGGGGGCTCCGATGTGAAGGGGGTTTCTGATGTGAAGGAGGACTCTGATGTGAATGAGAATTCTGATGTAAAAGGGGGGATTCTGATGTGAAAGAGGGGGCTCTGATGTAAAGGGGGCTTTTGATTTACAGGCGGGACTGTTATGTTACGCGGGGAACCCACTTTTTTGTGTTTTTTTTCATGGGAGCCCCCTAAAAATCCACATCAGGCTATACAGATAAGAGTCTGGTATGGATTTTTGAGGGGCCACAGGTTTTTTTTTACATTTTAGAGGGGTGCCTGATATGAAGCATAGTACAAAAGGTAAACTTAGCCGGCAAATAAATGAGGGTGCATTCATTGATTTTTGGCAAAAGGTGCAATAAGCTGTTCAATAAAACCACTTGTTACAGACAATGATGGTAAAATAATGTACAGTAAAGTGGAAAGTGTGTGAAAGGCTAGCTGTAGAGGTGTCTGCTCTTACCATTCAATCCATAGGAGAGTAGGGATGGAATCCCATTGACTTGTGAGCTCTATAGAGAAGAGTGAATAGGAGGACGGAGGGGGCGGGGCTGGGGCTCACATTTCTCTGCTCACACATCGTCCACACTCGTATTGCCTGGGGAGGACAAGCAGCATCGGACTGACATTGAAAGTGAACTGCATGATCAGCTTCCCTGGAAACTCCTGAGAACCCAGAAAAGAAAGAATGCTGGAGCTTGTCCTACATGAAGAAAGGACGGATCTGTGATTTCTGCAATACTTTCATTGCTCTCTGGGCATTACAAGACAAGAGGAGACTCTACTTTGTTCTAAGTCCCAGCTTTGTGAATACAAGAAGTCTGCAGATGTCTCACCAAGGTAAGGGCAATGCGATAATCCAGTAGATGCCTTTTCACTCATCATAATTACTTGTTTATTAAACACTAGACGATGAGAAACTTTTGTTTGAAAATACTAAAATCTAGTAACACTTTTACATACTTTTAAACAGTTGCAACATCGCAGGTTCAGTGTCAGAATGTCCTCTCCCCTCATAGGGAAAGACTCCCTTAGCATTGAGATTATTGAAGATGTATGTTACCACTATATGGTTTTTATTGTGAAAACAAAAGTTTGGTATCACAATTTCAGGATGAAAAATGCTGAGCAATAATATAATACAAATACATGTTATGTATAGTGTTGTTTGTAAATTACATTATGGGTGAAATATGCCTAGCCTGGAGACCACCCACATTATTTTAGGTCAGTGGTGGACAAATGGATGTGGAATTCAGGAGCCAGTCTTTCCAATCCTGGAGGCAGCAGGGTTTTTTCTTTTTGGAAAGGAGCTTTGTTGACAGGTAGCGTAAATCTCAAAAGTTAGGCATTAGCTCTAATTGTTGAGGAGCATTGGCTACCTGGCTCCTGTGATGTCTCCAGCCCTGCTTTATGGCCACTACTCAGTTTCCAGCAAGTTGGAAATGTTCTGCACATAATACGCTTATTATGGCATGCTAGGGAAGCCGTACATGACCTGACTCTTGCCCAGTTGTCAAAAGCAATGCTTGGTTCTTACTAGGTTTTAGCCATTATTGACCACCTTGTAGATGGACTGCTGTCTGTGGATGCTTGGATCTAACTAGGTTTGAACCATAAATGACCACTGTGTACATGGACTCCTGTCTGCAGATGCTTGGATCTTACTAGGTTTGAGCTATGAATGACCATCCTGTAGATGGACTGCTGCCTGTAGTTGCTTGGATCTTACTTGGTTTGAGCCAAGAATGACCAACCTGCAGATGGACTGCTGTCTTTAGATGCTTGGATCTTGCTAAGTTTGAGCCATAAGTGACCACTCTGTAGATGGACTGCTGCCTGTAGATGCTTGGATATTACTAGGTTTGAGCCACGAATGACCACCCTGTAGATGGATTGCTGTCTGTAGATGCCAGGGGTCCAGGAATCACATTTAAAAAAATGTTTCTTGAGGCTAAGGGTTACTGAGGGCAATAGGTGGCAAGATATTTGCCAGTCTTCGAGCAAGACCCCATCAGGACCTGCCAGATCCTTCCCCCATATTCTTCCCATATGTATTAGTACTGCATGTGCTGTAAAAAATGAATTCCCTTTTCTCCATGAACAGTTGGATTTCTTGCTCCCAACAAGTTAAGCATGATTAGCCAAACTTTCCTATAAATAATTAACATATTTACACAGCCAAATGAAAGTCCCATTCACTAACACTTACATACTGGGAGCTGCAGCACCCTTGGACCCTCACCCTAAGCCTAGAGCTACAGAGGCAATTAAGTTTCTTTGCTACTCTGAGATTTAACCACTTGTTTGCAGTCACAACATTTGCAGAACACAGAAATCAATGTGATGCCAATGAGATAACTGTCAACAAGCAGTTAACTAGCAAAAAGAAGAGCCTTAGGCTAAAGTGGAGCTCTGTATACACACCTGCTATACTGTTCACATATGTAAATATCACATACTGCCTTCCTTTACAAGGTGCAGGGGGCCTTTATTTGCATTTCGACTGTATCTTTTCTAGCCTTAAGCCCAAATTAATTGACTCAAGCTTTCCACCTATTTAGGCTAGCTATTGAAACTTTTTGACTTTTAGGAGTCATTTGGAGGTTTTCATTGGTTTGTCTGCCAGACTCAAAACAGACAAAGCCACTGATCTCATTATTGTTAGTAACAGGCTATGCATAGGTGTGCTAATAGGTGTTTCACATTAGCAAAAGCAATCATTTTAAGAAAGAAAGAGACTGTCCAACATTTTTGCCAATAATATCAGACAGTAGTTTGGCTTTTGTGCCACATTTATCAGGTGAACTGGGTAGACGTTTGAAGTCAGCCCTATGGCACAAACACTCTTTAAGGAAAAGCAGATGTTTTCGTCTGGATTTGTTTCCAAATGTGAAAAAAATATATATTCATGAGAAGATTGTTGACTAGTTGAAAGTTGAATTGGCTTTGCAGAGTGAGCAATGGGTGCTCTCAAGATCTGCATAATTTATGATTCGGTCAATATGGACAATATTGTGTGTTTGTTGTCTTTTTGTCAGCAAATTGGAGCATCATGTATGCAGGCATTGGTTTAACTCCAGAGTCTTGGTGTTGTCTGTTATTATACAAGATTTATATAGTGCCAGCAGTTTGCACGGCGCTTTACAATATAAGGAAGACATTACAATTGCAATACAATGCAAGACAAGATGGTAAGGAGGTCTGTTGACATTTTTCGCACATTGTACACTGTCTGACTGTTATATCAACACCAAAATGAACTGTACCATAAGAGTTATCAGTACATCAGTGCACGTGCATCAGTACCCTTACCTTAACATAAGTGAATATGTTTTCTTTTTTCACTTATTAAAGAACTTACAAAAACAGCACTCTAGCCAAAAATACAAACTTAAGTCATGAAATGTATATGACGAACACAGCCTACCCAACCATTATAATCCACACATAGCTGTAGCCCACCCTGCTGGTTAAATAACCCCTATTGTCCCTAATCTATTCTAACAACACCAATTGTTCACCCACATGAGAATGCTGACCAAGTATTAGCTGTTTATTGATGGATGTCACTTGTTGCCTTGAGCTGCTTTTTAAAATCTCACATTATCCGCAATCCAGGCATTTGTCCTTTAACAGCTCCAGTCCCCATGGAAAGACAATATGACATTGATTTACAAGAGACCCCAGCTAAACATTAGCTGATACCTTTGCACAGTCATTACCATGTAATGTAAAAACACCAGTGCCAGTGATTTATTTATGTAGGGGTCATGTGACTTCGTAATGGCTGATTGATTGCTGTTGCATACAAAGCACAGAGATTTATTCGGGAAATAGTTGTTCAGAAACCCAAAAGAATCATTACATGATTGCATTTGGCATGGAGTACCAGTCTGAGTTCTGAAAAATTCTCAATTTCCACAATCTTGGGTGGGTAACAATGCACAGCGTACTTGAGATAAACAACGTGCACGAGGGCATATTTACCTGGCTTTATAGTACACTGTGCTGGGCTTACTGCAAGGGGACAATGCCTACTGTACTTAGCTGCAATGACAAAGTTCCCACTGTAGAAACATGATACTATATAAAATCATTATAGAGCCCCTGGCTTTTCAGCCTCCATCCTTAACACAATCCCACTAAACAAGCCTTTACAAGTAGCATATACATCAGTCACTAATATAGCAGCATAGTATTTGTTTTTATAGGCACCTTATAAGGTTATCTGAACTGTATATGCATGCATTTAAATCTGAATAATTTGGGCAATACTAATTCTGCTTGGAGAATTGCAAAATTGTACAGCGTACTAGAGTACTGCTGGACCCCATTGCAGACCTTTGGTCTGATAGTGGCTATTGTTATGACATAAAGGTTAATCTATGCTTTGCTTGGAATGGGTAATGCAACAGATTCACTTATCACCACCCTTCCTCATTTACCTTCCTGCTGCTTGGTTGGCGTATGGGAGTGAAGAGAAGAAACTCTGATTGTACAATCTCCTTGAACTACATAATTCAAGGGCCTGCTATATTGGTTTCAAATGCATTGGGTAGGTTAGGTCGGTCCTCATTAATAAAAAAAAAGAAAAAACTATGGCCCAATCTTTTTTAGCCGTAGTTCTCTTTAGGGTCACAGGAGGACATTTGCTATTGCCTTCTTTCAAAACTCTGCCCACTACTACGGCCCACTATATGCTGATAGCACAGAGCCGCTCTGTGGCTAAGAAAGATTCCAACAATATTGATGGGATCCACCCCCCACCTGATTGTCCAGTTAGCACTGGAGAAATGGAGAGAGGAGGGGGGAATCCCTGCGGGGAGCAGTGACTGACAGTCACCACTCTCTGCAGGGAGAAGATCGGAAACTGAGTGATTGGCAGTATGTGATCGTTCAGCTCTCGATCGATCAATAGAGCTGACATGTGACAGCTGCAGTGTCACATGCCGGCTCTAATTATGGGGTTGAGTGCATTTCACTCCTTTCACACAATTCTCCTTTAATCGTAACTTGGTTGTACAGAGATTGTACAGTCAGATAGTATGGTGAGCACTAGATTGTGTATGGTCACCCTACGTTTCTGCAGCAGGTGTGGGAGTATAGAAAAGATAAATATAAGCAACTGGATGGGCAGCAGTTAAGTGAACATGCAGATTTGTCTAGAGTGGAAAAAGTACAGGTTCTCTTTGTGATTTGTTAGAGCAGTGGGCAAGTGAGGTGGTAAAATTGTAAGATGTTCTATGGTTTTATGTATTTGACTGTATGACATAGTATGTATACATTCTTGTCACACATGTCACTAATGTATATCACAATATAGGTCACTCATACAATATGCATATGCTGCAGTTTTAAATGTAAAATATTAAAGGGAGGCACAGTTCACATTGTTGATCATTAACCTGTAAACAGATCACAAATGACAAGCATTTTCAACTACTTCTCCAACAATGTAATAATATATAATAATGACAGCATAACCCTGTTTACTTGCAGATATAGGCCACCTATAACAAGTCCCTTGTCTATCTCAATATAAAGTCTTGCTAACAGAAGATATAGAATGCACTTTAATAATGTCATGCTATAAAGGTATCTGGAGTACCTAGCCTCTTGATACTGTTGTTTCTGCCTCTCTGACACCTTTCCAGTACATTGTGGTCATAGGAAGTAGCATCCTCTGGATACAGAACAAATTGTACTTATTCATTGCTTGTCCACGCTGGCTTAATTTCCTTTCTTCCAGCTCGCAGTTTGCTGTTAGCCAAGCTTTACCGCTCTACTTGCGCAAAATAGAAACCTTACCCCACAGGCAAAAGCTTCCTCTATAGCATAGGGTGACTTCACACAGCTACTGAACAAAGTGACAGTGCAGCTGTGTCTCTCTAGCTCCTCGGAAGGGTTTAGAAGAATCATCGGTTTTACTGTGGTCAAATCACAAAAACATGTATGTGGATGCAAATCCTTTTATATTACATGCAGCCCAAGAAGATTCAGATTGATTGATAATAGCTACAATATAAAATGCAAAAATCCTTGCAATGAACCCTAAAGGCAAAGGGGGAGAGGGCCGCTTAGGCTTCTATACAGTGGTGGAAAGGTGCTCTGCAAGACACCTGCATCCATGTACCATATAGTTTACTTGAGCTCGCTTCAGAAACACTTATGGTTATATCTGCATATTGGAAAAATACCGTATATATGATTATAATAAGTTCAAAAGCACTAAATGTTGCAGGAATGTATTTTAGTTTTAACAGTGTTCTGCATCTGTTTGAGGAGATCCAAGTATTGGTGATCTCCCTGGATTTGTTGGACTATCAACCTTTTTGTTGCCACCACTAGTACCAGAGATAAAACAGAGAAACCACACCTGTCATTTTAAACACTGAACCATACAACCTTATTCAAGAACGAGTTCTTTTTACATAGTAACCAACTCAATTTCACTCTGATGAAGTCAGACCAGTAAAAAATGGATACCCAAAGATGGCACCTAAAAAATGAACTTGAGAATAAGAAATCATTATTTAAAAAGTCCACCAAGCTGATGGTAAATGTAATAGATATTGTGCAATCAAATTGTATTGTGTGCGGCTACTGAAGGTATGAGCCTAAAACGGTATTTTCAACTAAAGCTCACCACGCATATTACAATCTGGCTGTACAATCATGTTTAGATTTACTAACAGTTATGTAGTGCAAGGTCATGCCTGATTGGATACAAATTGATTGGTTTAGGTAGGTCCTCATATTACATAGTGGTAAATCTAAAGCTCATTTAGTTACTTTCTTTGTACCAAGATATATGTGAATAAAATGGACTACAGAAGCAAAACATGTAAGAAAGAGTAATATAATGGATGTTTTTTCTGATCGATGTATAAATGTAACACAAAAAGTTTTCTCCATCTACAGAAATCAGTATAGTTTTGTATATAATATTGCAAAAGCTAAAGTTGCAAAATACATTCTTACTGCATGAACAAAATAAGAACAATCTAACCAATATGTTATTATGTGGTTTTAGGAATGCAAGTCTAGTCATATATATTGGAGAAGGAACCTCGGCTACCGGAGCGCCATTTGAACATCAAACCTGACATCTAGTGTTAATTTCAAGGAACTACACCAACTACGACTGCCAGTATGATGGCTCATAACGACACCATCGATGTTACTATTTTATTGCATTATAATTACACGGGGAAGTACAAGCACCCTCCTAAGAATGGTCTGAAGTCAAGCTCTATTATATTTATAATTATCTGCTGCTTCATTATATTGGAGAACATTCTTGTACTCTTGACTATCTGGCGAACCAAGAAGTTCCATCGTCCAATGTATTACTTTATTGGAAACTTGGCCCTTTCGGATTTATTAGCTGGAGCTGCTTACACAGCCAACATCCTTCTGTCTGGGGCGAATACATTCAGGTTGACGCCAATTCAATGGTTTATACGGGAAGGAAGTATGTTTGTTGCTCTCTCTGCCTCGGTCTTCAGCCTCTTGGCAATTGCTACTGAGCGCTACATCACCATGTTGAAGATGAAGTTGCACAATGGTAGCAAAAGCTCAAGATCTTTCCTTCTGATTAGTGGCTGCTGGCTTCTGTCTTTGTGCCTTGGAGGTCTACCAATTATGGGCTGGAACTGTTTGAAAGACATGGAATATTGTTCCACAGTCCTTCCCTTGTATCATAAACATTATATTTTCTTCTGTACCTCCATTTTCTGCATATTATTGATGGCTATTGTTGTTCTATATGCCAGGATCTACTTCTTGGTAAGAACACGAAGTAGAAGCCTGACCTTTAGGAAAAACTGTGCCAGAACCAGTCGGAGTTCAGAGAAGTCCATGGCACTGCTTAAAACAGTTATTATTGTTTTAAGTGTCTTCATTTTATGTTGGTCACCACTTTTTGTTTTCCTCCTATTGGATTTTGGATGTCAAGTAAAAGCTTGTGAGGTTCTTTTTAAGGCTGAATACTTCTTGTCTCTTGCAGTTCTTAACTCTGCCACAAATCCCATCATTTACACCCTGACCAATAGGGAGATGAGACGGGCCTTCCTAAAAATGGCAATCTGTTGCCATGGCTCCATTCTGAACGCAGGTGCAAAAGTTAAAAGGCCAATTATTACAGGAATGGAGTTCAGCCGAAGCAAGTCGGACAATTCTTCTCACCCACAAAAGGACGAGGTGGACTACCCAGTAACCCTTATGTCCTCTGGCAATATGACTTCCTCCTCCTAACACATGGACAGCAGACTTGAGTTTGATAAGCTCCTGTAAGTGGGCATAGCCACCTAATGGAATATCTCCTTACCCCCTGGAAAATGCTAAGGACTAGTAAAGTCCAGAAAAGTAGCATTAGTTCTGAATGGAGATGCAAAGCACTTGACTGAAAAAAAAATAAGGAGTAAGCAAGCTGGCATAAACTAGATGGCTGCTTGTGGAACACTAGTCTTGCCTGTAAGGATGTGAATTTCACTGAAATATATTTTAATGAAGTGGATCTGTAACTGTATATGCAGTGCAACCATGAGATCTAATATCACTTACCCAAAGTGGATAGGACGCTTAGTTATTAAACTTTGTCTAGAAGAGACATTCTGGGCACTTGGTTTATCCTACAAACTTTTATACTCTCATCTCTCTCAGAATATGTTGTAGACATTTGAATTCACTTACCCTGGAATAATCTAGTTCAAGCTTGTCTAATTCCACTTCTGAAGGCACACACCCAGATAAGAAGATATGATGTGCTAAGGGCAGGAACCTATAGTAACGAGTCAAATCTCAGTTTACTGACATCAGAATACTGAAAGATGAAGTCTTGTGTGTTTTCCACTTTACCCTATTGCATAAACAATGACTTAAGCCCTGGGACCTAACTGGACATCACTTTTACTAGCTGATGATGATGAAATGTATTTAAAAGCCACACCACTACTATTTTTATTAATTAAGAAAATTGTATTACTGTACAATAATTCAATGTAAAGCAGAAATGGTTTTCCATCACAGAAAGGTGGCATCGACATAAGTAGGGATCTTAGTTGTTATTCCTGTGGATGTATCATGAATTACCATTCTGTTTTGGATAGAAAGAGGAAGCGTTAGGACTCATATCAGGTTTTTTGCTTTCTTTGTCACTGGGGAAAAGGGAAGGTCAGGGGAAAAGTCTTCAACAGAGACTGTAAGAAACGGTTCACAGAGGTTCTAATATTTCCTCATGCTATTAAAAATGAAAAAGCAAAACAAAAAAACTGTAAGGCATAATTGACACAGGCTTCAAATATACATGCTAGTCAGAAGAACAGTATAAACAGCATTTATAAAACTTGTGCAGCTTTCTTGACCTACTTAGTACACACTTCAGATCCATCCTTCAAATTCTGAACACCGGTCTTGCTGGTTGTTGCTTTAAACAAGCTTTTAGCAGGTTTCAGCATGCACTATGTCCTCTTAGGAAAGCTGTATGAACCTGGAATTGACAACGTTTTGTAAGTGCTTGCTGTGTTTCTCAAGCTAGCATTTACAAAGTGAGTCCTGTGTGAACCTGACATTACTCATTAAAAAAAAAAAAGGTATGGTGGCTGTACTAAAATATAACTGAAGTTTAACAACAGTTAATTTCCTCAGAATTAACCCTTGTATAGTAGATGGCAGCAGAAGTGGTAACGGTCACCCTTCCTGAGTGTATAGCTGTCTGGGTTGGTATACATGAGTGCCAAAAGGGAGCCCTGATCACATGTCCCTCTCGTGTACTGTGTGGTCCCCTGTTCCCAGTGGGCAAGAAGCTTATTTAGCTATATGGCTAAGTTTTTATGGGTGCTTTGTATGACGCCATGTTCAAAACGACTGCAGCATTCTCTCAAGTTGATGTTGCAGGCTGCATATACTGTATCTAGACAGCTCCCCCTGTGATCCATTGCTTGGGAATCAATGTGAAGGCTAATGTGTATCTTCTTATATAGAGTCCATACCATCACCCCACTGCAAAATTACCATGTCTGGCCCATGGATTTACATATATGCTGGTCTTCTCCAATGCAATGGCCTTAGTATAACCTAAACTACTATGATTGGGTGAAACGTTATTACATAATTGTCAAAGCTTATCTGTTCCCTGTGTATCTATTGCTTTGGTATTATTTGCAAAGACAAACAATATTTGAGGTAGCCAAGGTTCTACTCTTGCAATTCTCTGGTTTATATGAAAGGGAAGGTCATGTAGATAAATATTTGACAAAGATCCACTTATAAGGCCCTTGTGAGTATGAGAGGCCCTAGGAAACAAAATGCTTTCTGTACTGACTTCGCAGAGTCATAGTTAATATAATGCAAAACGGATTTTAAAGGATAAGTATACTTGTAATCTTAGTCCATTCTAATCCCCAGATACATACTTACCTTGAAATCCTGCCAGTGACTTCCACTCTGTTTACATTCTGGTACCAGTTCTTGGTGCACTAGTCATACCTGCCCTGTATATTCCCATAGGGTCTGTGAGACTGGCTCCTAGCTGTCTCCTGCTACTGGACAAGGTCCTAGAGAACCCTATAGGTTGGACTGTGCACCAAAAATGATTAACCGGGAATCAGGATGCAAATTGAGATTGGAGGTGGTGGGCATGTTTGCTAGGTACGTATGTATCTGGAGTGGGGAAAGGGGGCTAGACTAGCATCGTGGAGGGGGCAGGCAAAAGAAAAGGCACTTATCCTTTAAAAAATAGAAAGTCTAAAGTATTTTTAATCATTGTAATAAATGACGTTTATAGCTTTACAGGTCAATTAACATGTTACACATTTATTTCTACTGGGCTTTGATATGTTTACTATCATTTAGAATAAATCTGCAGCAGATATATAGTTTGTGCAAGACTCCCCTAATAAGTAAACACAGTTGCTATGAAGGTCTAAAACATTTGACCAATAATGTGAAAACTGAGTCAAGACTTCTTTTATGGTAATGGCCAGAGTGGAGATGGGTTAGAATGTTATTTGAGTTTTTATTGTTGTCTGTGCCTTTCTTGGGGAGATTTCCCTCCTACTTCCCGTGTGCTTAATGGGAGACGGCGTTTGGGGAAACCAGCCCGATGGGGGCACACATAGCCAAAAGGGCCAGACAGAGGTTCCAACCATGCCCCACTCTATCCAAAATGTTTTACAATTGTCTAGGGTTCCACTTTAAAGCCTATCTCTGGGGGACTGCCCCCACACTGCAAGGGTTAAATGCTGGTTGATGTCTAGCATGTTGGGAAGAGCAGCTTTACTTACCTGACCTGATTCCCACTACCCCGAGAAGTTGGCTCTCTTCTCATCTCCTCTGTCCTCTGGCTTGTGGACAGTCCCTCGGCGTCCCAATGTATAATGCAGGGCTATGGACTCTTCATTGTACTTGGTAACGTCAGTGGGCCTCTGACTATCGGGGTGTAGGGGGAAGAGGTTGCGGGTGCCGGTCCTGGAGCCCACAGGGCACTGGGGAAGCAGGGATCAGGTAAGTAAATGCTAGTTTCCATACTGTCATACTGAAACTCGCGGTTCAATACTTTGAGTCAATGACCCAAGACCAATAAGCAGGTAATCAGCGTTTCATATGGAATTCCACAACTGCAGTTACCATGTTTCTATTGTCACATGGTCAACTGAAAAATTGGATGTATGTAAGTTCAGCCATTTATTCATGCATGCTTTACAAATGTTTCACTTTCACCAGATCAATTATATGTATACAGCCACAACTTTTATATACTTTTGTATGGCACTTATTTTATAGCACCATCTAGAGCATGGGTGGGCAAACGTTGGCCCTCTGGCTGTTTTGGAACTACAAATCCTATGAGGCATTGCAAGGTTCTCACAGCCATAGGTATGATTCCCCTAGACAGATACATCATGGGAATTGTAGTTTCCCCACAGCTGGATCCACCCCTGATCTAGAGGCACACAGACGGAGGGTGTGCCACTTAACCTGTGATATGTTTAATGAACATAGACATGTATATCCTTCTAGCTTGGCAGTGGGTAGTAACTGTCTACCATCGTGGTAAGGGGTTAAGCTACATGGGTGATTTTATAGTGTATGTATAGCCCTACAGTGACATTACTTTCTGTCTTAATGACAATGGTCACCAGGACAAATAGAGAGGGAGAATGTATATTGTGGGGACACAGGCTGAGACCTTGTTTCCTGTTACACCCTAAATATGATCTAAAAGGTGGAATAAGCCTTTAACCACTAGTGATTTTAGGAGCATGACTAAGATACTTCTGTGCAGCTCAAGCCCAGGGGCCGGCAACCTTGGCACGCAAGCTGTGGTGAAACTTTAAATCCCATCATGCTCCTGGCAGTCATGCCTCTGGCTGTCAGAGTCTCGCTAAGCCTCATGAGACACGTGGTTTCACCACAGCTGGAGGGCTGAGGGTGCCTACCCCTGGTCTAGTCCAATTAAGTAAGTGTCAGCAAATGGCAAAATCTTTTAGTGGCAAGACATAAAGATCTCCTATGTAGCTTATCCCTCGGTGGTGGTCAACGGTTAGAATCACCGCCAAACAAAACTGTCTTTGAATGTAAAGTTGAATCCTTTTTTCCATTTGGGAAACCTATTTTTCTCAGATATTACAGAACTGTGTTGTTTTAAACGCAACCCGTTGACAGATGATTTTTTAAAGAGTCATTTGCAATACTTTTTGTTTAATTTGATATCGTTTTAGTTTTTTGTTTTTGTTTTTATTACCAGTGCAATTAAACAGATTTTTTTTTGTACGTAGTATTTAAAATGCCTGACTTTTCTTATTGTATTTGCACATAGAACTTTGTATTATAAACTTGTAATAAACTGATGATTTTGTAATAAGCTTTGTGTGGTGAATAGCATGGAAGAAGGATGATGAACTAACAAACACAACATTCTATTTGTCTTATTTAATAACGGCGTGGAACAATAATGAATTGCAAACGATCAGAAATGAGTATTAATGAGCATGTTCCCTCTACGCTGGCTGTTTTGAGCAAGAAAAAATGATTGGTTCCCCACGCTAAGGACCTGTAAACAACCATCTGCGTTCCGGCTGCGCTGGCCGTTTTTTCCAGGGCAGCCCAAATGCAAGACAAGACAACTTGTCTCGTCATAGAGAGACTAAGGTCATGCCACTGCGTCCCAGTGGTGTGCGCTTAAAAAAGGACGCATGCAGTACTTTTTATAAGCCCACCACGAGGAGACATGGTACAACCACATTGTACTGTCTTTAGCCTATAGAGCTGAATGAAATGTTACTTCAATAAAGTTCAAAAAAAAAAAAAAAGAAACAGTGCGATGCGTCTCAATGGAGTGCATCGGGACGTTCCGGAG